AAGACCATTAGCATGTGTGATAGTGGTTGATTAAGGCAGGAATATGTAGGAAAGTAAACAGTGTAGAGGGAAAGAAATACATAGCAATTAACTAATTCAGGAAAAAATGGAAAGATCTCTTGGTAGCCATGACATCAGTCAGCTGATACACGGAACAGCAGCTGTGTGCAGGAGGAGAATAAATTGATGGATTAGTGGTTATTACATCTATCTGTGTTTGAAAACGCACGAGAAGCGCATTTTGTGGCAGGGAAGCAGCACCATGTAGACATGAAATAAAGAATTAAAATACCAGCACTCAGTTTCACATGAAACTCTAGTCTCATAAACTCTCAAGCTACGATATGGCTTTTCAAGCCATAAAATGAGATAAACAGCCCTTACCTAGAGAAGGATTCAAATATTCCCTGTTATTTTATCATAATACTATTGGATTATGTGTGTTAATACTTCCTTAGATGCCATGAATAATGAGGAGTTTACCATGTATATAAACTCTAAAAGGTGTTTAAACAGGGAAAATTCTAAAATAATATTGAAGAGTACTAGGCTCAGAACAAAATAAATGACCCCCTGCCTCCCATCCTCTACTTCAGACAAACACACTGATGGACTATAAGGCAGAGAGAACTCTCAAATACAGTCAAGGGGAGAAAGAGAACGGACAGAAATGTCAGTCTTTTAAAATGTTTTATTTAATCAAATGATAGAAAGAATACTAGACAAGGAAGAAATTAAAATATGATTATTGAGCCAGCTGCCAATGGCTCATGCTTGTAATTCTAGCTACTCAAGAGGCTGAGATCTGAGGATCATGGTTCAAAGACAGACCAGGCAGGAAAGTCCATGAGACTTTAGCTCCAATTAACTACTCAAACACCAGAAGACGACCTGTGACTCAAAGTGGTAGAGCACTAACCTTGAGCAAAAACACTCATGGGTAGCACCCAGATCCTGACTTCAAACCCCACAACCAATCAAAAAAAAAAAAAGAAAAAAAAGTTTTTTCTGGTAATACAATCTATCTCCCTGAAAGCAAAGTTAAATATAAAATCCAAATCTAAATGTTGGTGGAGAACAACCTTTTCCTTAACAATAGGAAGCCTACCTTCTTTTAAAGTCGCCATGCTTGAGATGAAGGCATGTTTCAAGTAGTAGAGGACTTGCCTAGTTAGTGGAAAACTAAATTCAAATCCAATCATCATAAAAAAAGCCACCATTCTCTTATTGTAGGCTAACTAAGATTTAACAGTCTAATCACTTTGGGCAAGTCATATCAGTTTCTGTATTGCACAGAGACAATACATAACCTCAAGAGAAAGTGTACTACTATGTCCTGAAAAGTGCAAAACCATGCGTCCACATTAGGCAAGAGATTTTACCAGGTGGGGCATGACTGGTAAACAGCTTCAGCAGTTTACAGGAGTGCTAGGTGTTGTGTAAACGTCCAAGTCAGTTCAAGAGGTCTTTGGCAAACGAAAAGTACACACTACCCAGCAAGTTATGTGCTTGATGTCTCTTTTAGGCAGGAGACTAGCCTGCCAAGCTAGCATTGCTCAGGAGTGACCCAATCTTCCATTTCCCTCCCAGCTCAAGAGGAACAGTTTGAAATCCAAATGGGGCCCTCAGCTCAGCTAAGGAAAACAGTCTCAAATCTTTCTGACATCTGCACAAAAGGGGTACTGAAGGGTTGTCCTATAGAGTCAACAGTGCTGGGGCAAGCTTAAACAATCCTGTTTTGGTCCTGAAAACATAAGAGGCAAGGGAGGCAGGCTAAATGGGACCTGGTGGCCCTCGCAGCATAAAACATCCATGTTCGCAATTTGCCCCATGACTCTGGACCTTCTTATCTATTTGGAAAGTAGGACATTCTCTTGACTCATAAAATACAACTTGGTATGGTCCAATAACCTTGAAAAATGTTCTCAGAAACTTTAGTCTGCACAAATAAACTTTAGCAACATGTTTTACTATCTGGATTCTGTATCTTTTAAGTATTAAAGAGAAAAACTGTTCATTGATAATGCTATTTCATCCATTGCCCACTGTTTCAACCAGTCACCTATTTGCTAAATGGTACCCAGAATTTTTGGGACCCAAGCAAGGTTTCCTCATGGAGTAAATCTACTGCGCTGTATCTTTAAAACTGAAAAAAAAAAAACTCAGTTAAACAATGAAATCACTGCAGGCATGCTTGCTTGCTCTAGGACCAATGCATTTATCTATGTATATATTATCTACATAATATATATGATATATAGAATTATTACATATAATTATTTTGTTATATGTAATACATAAAATAATTATATAATATATATATATATAATTTGCCTTGTTAAAAGTTGCTAGACTTAACAGTCTCGGGCTTCTCCTCAGTTTCCTGGTTGTTGGATCTGTTTTGTCATTTGTCACCTCCTAAGATATTAGAAAAAGTTCATTTTTGTTGACCCTCAACTCTCATATGGTTCAGCTAATCTTTGTAGAGATAAAACAAGTAAGAATCATCACCTAGGAAAGTGGTTAGAGGCTATGTCAAGGAAATTTATAGAACAGAAAGTTTCAACCAATATGCAAAAATGTGCTTGAACTCACATTTAGCCAGGGAATGATGATAATTTTTGCTTATGTTGGCAAAAATATCGAGTTGTTAACGGTATAAAAATATGTGTTCTCAGGTACAATGCTCATAGGTGTGTAAACTGGAAGATACTTTGTGACATAATTTGCCAGTAGTTTTGAAAGTTAGTAGGTATTTAATAATAAATGAATAATTTAATAATTCAAATTATTATGTGTGGAGATGAGCACAGGAAACCTATACTAAGATTTCCACTTTAGCATTGTCAGTTTATAAAATAGCAAAAATTCACAATCTAAGTGCCCATCAAATGAAAAATGACTGAGTTAAACTATGAGGTAGAAGAAAAACTTTTAAGGACAAACTGAGTGAAATGGGGCACATAATATACAATATGATCACACAAACATACACACAGAGTGATTTATTTTAATTATCAAACTGGAAAAGAAAATGAAAGTGGTGATATCAATCAAGGTGCATTATATTCATAAACCGCTTTGTTGAGTGGCAACCCCTTTATATGACCAATAAAGGATAAGAAAAATCTATTTTAAAAAACAGAAAAGGAAGGTATTTTATACATGTATATACACATCCCTGATTATGCACAAAGACACTAATGATGTTTTATTTATGCATTGTAAATTAACATAAGCTAATAAAAAGAGAAAAAATTTTAAAAAAGTAACCTGTGAATTTTACAGGCTGAATGACTTACCTTCTTGCTCTCAGTTCATTCATCTGTTTATTGGGATAATCAGAAAGTATACCCCACAAGATGACTGTGAAGCCTTAATAAGATTCATAACAATTCATCATCATCAAAAAAAGAAAGACAAAAAGAAATGGTGGTACTGAGAGAGCATGAGGGAGGGCTTTGTATTGCTTGCATATTGTTTGAGAATACATTAATATATTTATCATAGATTATTTTTCTAAAATTTTCCTGGTTGTAGAGCAGAGAGGAAGGCAGGATCTATAGTGAACATGGCTTCCTTGAAAGGCAACAATGGCCAAGTGATGTAAACAGGTAAGGAATCAAAGGACTAAGTTAACAGCCAGGAACCTGCCATCATTTTTTTGTGTGACTGCAAGAAGTCATTTTGCTTTTGAGTCTGTGTCTTCTGTCCAATCAATGGGTAACATGAGAAGTCAATAAATGCTTTCCCTTTCTGATATTTTATGATTCTGTCTATGTCTTTAATGTATAATGGGTCTGATCCATTTTGATGAACAGATTTTTTTTATTCTCTTCCTTTAAATTTGGCATAGTTTGACATTTCACTTTACTGCAAATGGAAGATGATGAAAGAGAAGGTGGAATGGTCACCATGTTCCCTGTTTGGCTGCATTTTTGAGAGTTTGGTTAACCTATTTATGCTACTACCTTCATTTGACAGTGTAAGCCCTTCAGCTTGTTTGAATGTATGTGATGAGAATACAAATATTATATTGGAAGTTAGATGATCTGAATTTTACAAGGGTGGCTATAAGTTCTGGAAATATACCTATACATACAGATTTTTCATAGACTGAATCTCCTTGAATATGTTTTCTAGATTATAGTAAAGAAGCAGACTTAGCAGTGAAAATCAGAAATATAAACTATCTGGTTACTATGCATACACAGAGATAGATGGAAATATGTTAATTTACAAGACAGTTCAAACTGTAATGTTAATGCAGGGTAATATATTGCTATGTCACAATACCTTATAGCATGTCTTTTGTTTTAGTGGCATATCAATAAACCATTCTTTATGTATAGTTGCTGATACTTCCGGAGTATTTTGTTTTTGTAGGTTGTGGGACCTGAACTCTGTCTGGGCCTGGGCACTGTCCCTCAGCTCTTCAACTCAAGGCTAGTGCTTTACCACTTGAAGCACAGAACCTCAGGCTTTTTTTGCTTATGTGGTGCTGAGGAATCGAACCAAGGGCCTCATGCATGCAAGGCAAGCACTCTACCCCTGAGCCACCTTCTCAGCCCATTTCTGGAGTTTATAATACTGTTTTCTTGATTCTATCTCAAACAAGCAGAGTGATTTTGGGCAAGTCACATACCAGTCTCTAGACAACAATTGGATCATCTGTTCAATTGTAGTAGGGAGAAACCAAATGGATATATGTGATCTAGGAAAATCTGCACACATTTTGCAGACAGTATCATGATCTGGTCCTGCACAGTAATTGGCTTTGGAAATATTCCAATGACATTCTGGAGAAACCCTGGCACTAAGTCAACAAAAGAAACCTCTTCTGACCCCTCAGAGATTTTGATCAGCCTAGTTCTGCCTGTCATTAAGTAGCAAAACTCCTTCCAACTGGCCCTCATCACTTTGCTTATTTCATGAGATCATAAAAATAAATTCTGAGCAGTTTAATTCTAGAGAAAAAACATTTAGAAAACTTACTCTTGCTCCTTTCTCAGGAGAGCATGTACAGCCCCAACTGCAGTCTTGTCCCTCACATGATTTTCCATAGGACTTCTCTCCCTGTTAAAACAAAGGGAAAAAACATTAGTCAAGCCTAATCCTTAACCACAGTCCTCTTAGCCAAGTAAATTTCTTTTTTTAATGTTTGTTTTTAATTGTAAAAATAGTGTACAGAGGGGTTACAGTTACATGAGTAAGGTAATGGGTACAAGCCAAGTAAATTTCATCCAATGATGTCATTGTATACAAGAAACAAAATGTCTTCTTAAACTAGCCTACTTTTAGATCCAACCTATAACCCACCAAATAGCTGGTTTGGGAACCATGATTTACATATTGCCTCACTGGTAGACACTCCAGTCCCAAAAAGAGAGAAATCTTTACATGGGTGAGATGAAAGCAGGTGCTCATTCTACTCAGAGAGGGAGCAGAGTACCTGCAGGAAAATCAAGGGCTCGAAATTTAGTGACAGAAGAAAATGGCTACCCTGTACTTTGCTTCTATCTTCTCAAGCTCCATTTCTAGTACACCAAGCCTTCTCATGAGTCCTCTGTACACAATGAGTCAGATTAAAATTCCTCAGCAGACATAATATAGTATATCACTCAAACTTTCTAATTTCATTTTCTCTTCTTCTCTGCTTGATGTTGTTGTTGTTGTTGATGATGATGATGGCTGAGTTTCTTCAATGCTCTCACTTGATGTGGTATGTGTTTACCCTGTCCAACCTCACCTTCTCCCTGTCTTACTCTCTCCATCAAGCCATTGCTGACATGAGATCTCTTCCTTAGCTATGCTTTTCTTTCCCCTGTAATGTTTGTCCCCAAGATTATTTTTAATGTCTGGCCTCTTCTAATTTTCCAAGTCTAGTTCAATAATCCATTCACCTAGGCTGACTGTTCAGCCTAAGATGGTCTCAAGTTCTTTCTAATTATATCTTTGGTTACTTTTCATTAATAGATACTTCTCATATTAGAATGAAATCTTCATTTAAGTGGGATTCATATTTTTTGTCCAATAGTCTATCCCAAATGCTTAAAATAGTGTATGGTCCTGAATAAAGTTGAATATCCACCAGAATACAGCTATTATTTGAATCTAGTTCTGATGAACTCCATAATCTTGACATTAATCCCTGTGTGTTATTGTTTTCAAAGTCCTGTAACAGAGCCTCAAAACAAGGACTCCACATGGAAGAAAACAGCCTTTCTGACCTTATACCACCTTGGGGAAAAAGGTAAACATGAATTCTAGCTAATATCTGCAACAAAAAGTTCATCTGTGAGTTGGATTTAGTATCATCAAATTTCTATGATGCAGCCTCACACTTAATCATTCTTGCCTCTGTGTACAGTGTACCATTCCCTAATCCCAGGGAGCACTGTGACTTTCTCAGATGGCCTCTTATCTCTTTAGACACTGGCACAATACTTTATCAAAACACCTCAGTAATAAGGTAGTGATGGCAGATCTGTGACAAAATATTGCTGTTTTAGATTCCAAACACCTTTCTGATATGAGATATTTTATCTCTCTTGTGTGCTTTTGACATGTCAAGTGCTATTGTACACTTTCTATTTGGTCTCCATTTTATAGTGCATAGGACAGGCAAAGTTTTCATAAGGTTGAGATCAAGTGGTGTGGGAGGGGAAGGGAAAAAACAAATTATTTAAATAGGGATACAGGTGGACCCATTGCAACAATAAGATGTACAAGACGCTATGTCAAAAATGAACTTTACAACTTTGGCAGGAGGAGGAGGAGATGGGAAAGGATGGGAAGGGGAAACAAAGGAGGAGGCAACAATGCTTGATAAGAAATGTACTCATTATCTTGCCCATGTAATTGTAACTCCTCTGTATGGTATTTTCACAATAAAAAAATAAATTAAAAAAAGAGAAGTGGTGTGGGAAGAGGGAAGTGGGGGCTGGAAGAGAATAGAGACAAGAGAGAGGAACATTAATTAACTTTCCGTTTTGCTGTCATTTTGTCTGATAATGATTATGGTATTTCTTGGAATTATGGATAATTTGTTTCTCCACAGATTTTTATATTTTAAGCACTCTTCAATGAGCATGCATAATTAATATAAAGAAAAAAACAATACATGCTTTTAAATGAAAACAGTTATCCCTTTTGAGTGTGAGGGCTTAACAACTCTTGTCAAAGACGACATGGCATCTAATTGTAGCTATAGCCCACTTCCAAATGATGCCTGCTCAGGTATTCTATAAAGAAGAAAGAAACAAAAAGAAGGAAGAAAGGGGAGGGAAAAAAAGAGAAAGACAGAAAAAACAAGAGAAAGAATAGAGATGAATATGCATGATTAAAGGGGAAATTTGGTCTAATATAAATCAAAAGTTTCTACTCTCTAGTACGGGGTTAAGAGGCTAGAGGCCTGGGCCTGTATAAGACAGGAAGAAATGTTCCAATGTCAGGAGTTGAGTAAAAATATAAGGAGAAGACATTAAGGTTTCTTAGGAACTCATGAGAAAAAGGAGACAATTTCCAGCTGACAGAGAGGAATCTATCACTGTCCTCTGTCACAGAGGAAAGTAACCAGAGAAGTTCCATTGGCCATAAGGCAACTTCCTGTAGCACCAGCCCTGGCAGTTTTCCCAGGAATCTTCAATTACAGTGAGATGAGTAGGGTAAAGGAGTAGCTTTCAGGAAACATGATCAGATCATGCTTTAGAAAAGCTTATGCTCCTTTGAGGAGGCTACAATGCTTGATAAGAAATGTACTCATTATCTTGCCCATGTAATTGTAACCCCTCTGTACAGTATTTTCACAATAAAAAATAAAACATATTAAAAACAATAAAAATCAGCCCCCCCAAAAAAAGCCTATACTCCATCATGATGTGTCTGGGGCAGCTTTAATCCCCACTTAGCCAGGCCAAGTCATTTTAATAATTTCCCACCTTAGAATGTGGTCCTTTTCCTCTCAAAATCTAGTCTTCTTTTGATGCATAGAAAATGGAACCTGGAGAGGCCTTGGGAGATCCCCTATTACAGTGGTTTATTAACTGTCAGACAATTTTTATTATAATTATTTATTGTTCTCCCTTGCCATTCTGAAAAGAATGTCATTTGAATAAGTTATTTAAAACATGTAAACAATAACTTAAAAAGCACACATAATTTCCTAGTTATACTACAAAGAAAAAGAAAAGGAAAGTCATTCATAATTAAAAATATGTATTTCAACATTCAAAAGTTTATCCATGTATATATTAGAAGCTGTAATTAAGTAGTCAAGGCTAGTAGCTGTATGCACAGAATCATCATGAATGAGAGGCAGCTGACAGAGAATGAGAGACAAGTATTAGCAATGTCTAATTTCTACTACTCTACTACAGTGATTCTCTGAAATCACTGGCAACTAAATAATGGTAACAGTACAGAAGAGAAGTATAGTCTTCTGTTTTACTCGGTAGCTTTTGTCAGTAACTTGTTAATAAAACAATGAAAAACTCATTTAAATATGTAAATGTAGATATATTTGAGACTAAGAGAATTATAAATGGAGTTACCACTTCCATGAATGACTACAAGTTTCATAAATGAAGGACAGACGCAGTAGATTTTTTCATAGTGTATAGAACATCAAAGATTTAGGGTCCTTACTAAATGTGGTCTCACAATTTCCGAATACCTCTTAAGGGAATAATAATTCTGTTAAGAACTACTAGTCTATTGCCTGGCACCAGTGGCTCACACCTGTAATCCTAGCTACTCAGGAAGCTTAGATCTGAGGATTTCAGTTCAAAGTCATGCCAGGCAGGAAAATGTGTGAGACTCCAATTAAACTCCAAAAAGTGGATCTTTGGCACAAGTGATAAAACAGTAACCTTAAAAAAAGCTCAGGGAGGAGCTGGGAAGTTGGCTCAGTGGTAGCGCACTTGCCTTGCATGCCTGAGGCCCTGGGTTCGATTCCCCAGCACCACATGAGCAAAAAGCAAAAAGCTGGAAGTGGTGCTGTGGCTCAAGTGGTAGAGCGCTAGCCTTGAGCTGAAGAGCTGAGGGACAGTGCTCAGGCCCAGAGTTCAGGCCCCACTACCGGACCCCCCCCCCCAAAAAAAAAAAGCTCAGGGACAGTTGCCTAGGCTCTGAATTTAAACACACACACACACACACACACACACACACACACACAAACATGCACACAAATGTGTGCAGAAAGAGAGAGAGAGACAGAGAGAGAGAGAGAGAGAGAGAGAGAGAGAGAGAGAGCACCTCTAGTCTAATCCAAACCATCCATTTTACAGATAAGAGCACTAAAAGAAATTGTTTTAGCCTGAGCCACACTGCTAGTGAGTTAATGAGCTCTATCATGTCTCAAGGCCACATTCAAGTTCCATTTCATCCAGGATGATATCAGCTTTAGTGAAAAGCTTTAACATTTACAAAATGTCCCAGTCATTGGGCAAGAATTACATATTGCTATGGGACAGTCTTTGCATTCTTTCTTAGATTGTATGAGTTGAATTGTAGAAATCTTTTTTTCCTCATCCAAACAATAATGTTTGTAAGGGAAAATTAACCTATTTTTTCCTCAGTATAATGCCCCATATTAAAAAGGAAAAACTAAGTATCAACCACTCCCTGAGATACTATAGTGTAGTTAAAAGTCCAGGTTCTGGACTTAGTCTGTATAAATTGAAATTACCATTCTATATTCCCACTTAGGCAAGTGACTTTATCATCTTATTTTCCCATCTGTAAAATGGGGATGGCTACAGTATCTACAGTTTGGAATATTGCCTGTATTGTTTTGTGCATGTTATAGACAGTCTTCATATATGATCTTATAACTACTCTAGAAGCAGTCAAAGGGAGAATTTTTATGTGCCCATTTTCCAGGTTAATAAATTTGAGTTTCAAACAGTTGGTGTCATTTGTTAAGTTGGTGTGATTATTTAAGGACTCAAAGTCAGGGGTTTCTCTTTTTAGTGCCCAGCTCCTCATTTGCACTCTTTTATGCTCTTCACTCCCTGCCGATGGCTTCAAGGTACAGTAATCCAGATAGGCCTCTACGACTACGTCAAACCTATTCC